GGTCTTGGTCGGGGAATGATCGTCTCAGTCTCGCTCGTCTAAGGGCTTGACCAAGGGCTTGACCAAGGGCTTGGTCTTGGTCGGGGAATGATCGTCTCAGTCTCGCTCGTCTCCGGTAAGCCTACCCCTAAGGTGAACCGAGCCGATGTGGGGACGATGCTGCTACCACCGAATTTAGACGGCCATTATTTGACCATTTAGGGTGTGCCGCTGTTCCTCAAAAACACGTGTCGAAATGTTACCCATTAACTAGGGGAAAACTATTTTATCTTCGTTTTTGTGTATGCAAAATACACCATTGAGATTCAGTCTTTTCGGAACGATTCTAGATTTGGGAATCGTGGGACTTAGCGGATTTTCGTGATGGTTGAAATTAATTTTGGTACAATATTTTCGGTTACACCAAAATTAATACCGAAATCAAATGATATGTATATTGAAGTTGAAGTCACCCTCTCACCCCTCCCAAGCTGCCTCTTTGCCCAGGAAAGCAAGAGCTTTCTGCAGATAACGCAGCCGCAGGTACGGCAGCAACTTGTAGATGCAGTCGTCCCACGAAGCGTCGCAAAGCAGCATCTCCAGAACTGCGATGCACCACACGCCACAAGAACTGTTGTCCTGCTGAGTGCACCACTCCACCTTCTCGTAGTTCACCATGCCACGTAGCTGAAGCACCCCTTCAATCACGGTCCGCACGCTTTGTTCAATGACGGTGTAGTTGCTTCGACTTTGTAGAGGGTCGAACATAAAGCATGTCGCCGTCTTCGTGCCCTTGGCGACCGTCCTGTCGATTAAAAACGCCACCCAGTGCCGCTCGATGTGAATGATTCCAATGACACGCTTGTTCTTAGGGTCGCTGGCCCCGAATCCTGCCGCGGTCCTGCGTTTTTGCTCCGGCAACGCAAAGTCGTGATAGCTGGGGCTGATGATGCCTACGACGTCCGGGTAAGCGTCGCGCAAAGCCATCAGCGACACCAAGATGGACGTGGTATGCAGCCACAGATTCTCACGGAAGTCCAGCAGTTGGTGTCCGTTCACACATTCACCGGGCACGCGATTTACGCTCAGATTGAGCGTTTCGACGTAAGCCTTGTGCTCGTTCTGCAATACACAAGATACTTTGTTAGTTTTGGTGCATCTTCAATTCAAATGCTGTGAATTGTTTCTTACCTTTGTGGTTGCCCTCGTGTCCGTGAACGGCTCGCGAAGGTTTGCAACACGCCACTCCACCTCGTCAATCCACTTTGTAGTGCGCATCACCAACGCGAATCGCTGACGCGCCTCCAGGATGCTTGCCATAGCGTCCAGCTGATCAAATGTAGCGTAGCCGTAGTCTGGCCAGTAGGCAAGAAGGTCGATGTCCTGCCTTATCTTGATAGCGTCAATAGCCTCCGTCACAATGGGTAGCGGAGGGATACCCTTGATAAACGGAATGTCTTGGTCGATCTTGAAGGCTCGGACGGACAGCGGCCCGGTAACATCAACTTGGGGCAGTACAAGCGCGTCAACCATAGGCTTTGAGTGGAATAGACTGTAGGGTCCGTCAAGCAAAGCGGCAACATCATTGAATGAGACCAATTTTCCCGCTTTTCGCTGGCGGTACTTAGCTGCCAGTTCCAATGCAGCTTCACGGTCTTGTTTAGCTTGGGCACGCTTTCGCTGAGCCTTGGTCGTTCCATTGATCACTGGACGCTCCGCAAACGTCCACGTGACTGCCTTCGGGCGTTCTTCTGACGGCTTTCTCGATTCGGTGGAGACTTGTGTGGGTTCGGTAGAATCTTGTAAGGTTGGGTCGGAGGGTGTAGCGTTGCCATCTTCCTCTGCTTCCGCACCCGTTTGAGTTTCTCCATCAGCGGCCACATCGACTTCAACAGCAGTGCTGCAGGACTCCTCCTCACTTCTTTCGATTCCGCCAGTATCTTCAACCTTGGTGGTTTCCTTTGCTCTGGAGGTCACTAGAGAAAGCCCCGTGAATACCGGAGCCTCGCGCTCTGCAAAGGCAACCACGTCGTCGGAGTTGAGCGCTTCGTAGAAATCCTGAAGCCACTTCAGCGCGATCCGAAATGTGGGTGTAGATTGAAGTGCCATTCTTGCAATGATCTTCTCCGTTGTTGCCTTGGCTTCGATGTACATCGCAGCCCCCGACAAAGCTCGCTTCTTCGCTCGAGACGGACAGCTCCCTTGCTTCAACCCTCCACACGGAATTCCTCCCCAGTCGATGTTGTTTTCTGGACTCTACACAATCCATCGTGTAGGAAAACAGTGCATCGGGGGCAGTACTGTTTCGAAGTTGGACGTGCTCCGGACGTACATCACGTCGCGGCAGGGCAGCAAGCAGGTCTTCATGAAGATACAGTTGCAGGAGTTCGTCTGTACAGCACAGATTACATGTCAGTCGTCAATACCAAAGATAACTGAATAGACCAAAAGTATACCATAACTTGAATAGCTTACCCTCGTGTTGACTTCATGCACTTCTCCAGACCTTGGGCTCGTGACAGTGGCTCGTCCTGGTGTGTTCAGCTCAACCGTGTAGTCTGCGTTCGGACCGGTTGCCAAGGTGTGCTGTTTGGCGACCAATTCGAAGGCAAACGGGCTCACCTGCAAAGCCAGCAGCGTCAGTTCGCGGTCCTCCGAATCCCGTGAAGGCCGGCTCCCAACTCGATGGTATTCTGCGAGATACTGCTCTTCGGCATAGTGCTGCAGCGTCATCAGCGTAGACAGGAGTTGGTCGATAGTGAAGGAGTCGTTAATAACATCCTTTATCTTCCCCCACTTGGACTCGATCCTATTGTTGGTGTTGTTCGTCAGGTGCGGCGTGTTGCCGCGCTTGTAGGAAACCCACTCGTCCTGGTTACTGTCCCAGTTTGCCATGAACGTGCGGTACAACTCGTGTGATGTATCGCCTCCAAGCAACTCCAACACAGCTCCTTTTGCATCTTCATACTCGTCCTCGTTGCTTGCGTACACCATCAACCGCATCAGGCTCTTCACCGACTTCTTCACCGATGACGCCAGACGTGCAGCCTGCTCCTTCAGCCAGGTAATCACATGCCACTGACACAAGAGTTGCCGAGCGTCGGGCAGCTCTTCTCGCAGAACTTCTTTCTCATGAGCAGCCTTGTCCGTCATCACCACTTGGATTTTGGCCCAGTCAGGGTTGTTTGCTTTGAAGATCTCCATCACTCGGCGCAGATTGTCTTTGTGCTCACTGTCTACAAGTGCATGATGGACATATTGACCCTATGGTAAGGTTAGAATAGTGTATTAAAGTACAGCACAACAAAAAACTTGTCTACGTCAGTACCTTTCCGAACACGTCGTGCACTACGAAGCTGAACAGCTTGTAGCGGTTCACGTTCGTGTCGTGCGTGGCATCAACGAGAATCACCTCCGGAAACGCTTTGAACAAGCGCTTCATTCTTGCGGACTGGAACGTGGCGACGCGAGCAACGTTGGAGTCGCTATCCACAAGAATTTGAGCAGAGTTGCCACCGTGCTGCAGACAAAACTCTTCCATCACTGCAAATGCGCGTTGCACATCAGTAAGAGCAGCTTGCTCGGTCAGTTTGTATCGCTGCACCATGTTGTGGACGTCCTTCCGCACGGTTTTCTTGCCTACAACATACCACCAAATATCCACAGCAAATAGTTAGGAACAAACCAAAATCACACAGAAAGTGATAAGACTTTACCTGTACGTTCACGCAGGTATTGCAAGATGCCGTGCGTGTTCGCCCCAGCCTTATGCAGCACTGCCACATCCTCCGTCAACTGCGGGTCCTTCACCGTCCGGTTCTCCGCGTAGCTCTCCCAAAGATGCTTGTTCAAGTCGTGATTGTGTTTGCCGGTGGCGTTCACGCGTAAACACCAAGTTCCGCTGAACGTGGCAGCGACACGCACATTCAATCTCGCCTTGCACTTCGTGTCGCGAACGTTGTTGTGGTGCCGCTTTCCCTTGCCCTTCGGTTCGTAGGGCTGACCATGCGTGCAGACCAGCGTTTTCGAGTACGTCACCCATTCCGCCGGAACCAAGGTGATCGGTTTCCGGGCCTTCTTTGCGGCTCGCTTCCTTTCCTTGTCCTTTTCGAGAATTTGCTTGTTCCGCAGGAAAACTGACGTACTTGTTTGCATGGAAAACTGCTGGAATGTCTGAGCCTGGAAGTCGTCGAACGAGGTGTGGAACGTATCCCACGAGTCGAACGTGGTGCTGAATCCGTAGAACCACACAGGCACAACTCGCTTCACGCGAAGGTCATACGTGCGGGACGAACTTCGGTGAGATTTCGGTTCGGGTACCAACCGAATCTCGTCCCCTTCGTCGTCTTCCTCGCTGTCCACTTCGTCTGCGCGGTCTCCACTCCCGACGTCACCTTCTTCCTCTTCGTCAGCATCCTCGCTCTCTTAACCGTCGTTTTCAGCGGCCGATTCGCGCTCTTCATCATCGTTGTCTTCCTCATCTTCGTCACTGGCGTCTGGGTCGGTGCCGAACGGCGGGGTCTTCTCCTCGTAGTCGGAGTCGTCCGTACCGCCAGGAGACAGCTCTTCGTCGGCCTCGTCCAAAGCGGAAATGGCTTCGGCAAGGGCGCCGTCGTCAGAATCCGAATCTGGCTCTATGCCGAACATCTCGCGCACGGCACGTGCTTCCCACCGCTCGTACATGCTCTTCTCGCGGGCTTCAGCCCGGGCTTTCTGCCCAGCCTTCTTCCCATCTTCACTTCGCAGCATGGCGGTAGCACTCCGAGTGCGTTTGTACCTCCCGTCCATCGCCAGTCGGATCTCCTGCTCGTCGCGGCGTGCGCGCGCCACATTCGCGGCACGCTGCGCTTCTAGCACACCGCGATTGTACACTGGCAGCGGGGGGAGATCGCGCAGCGTCCTGTCCGTTTCATGCCGAAGTTCGCGCTGGCGCTGCCGACTCCGACTCCGCTCCGACTCAGCACTGTCGCGCTGCGCACGCGTCACATGGGCGTCTTCGGGGCCTGGAGGGCGCTTCGACGAGCCAGGCTAATAGAAGCAAATGTCAGTAACACATATTCCTTACCCATGACTCGCATGTAAGCGTACCGTGCCAGTTGTGCGCGCCATTCTTGTGCAGGGACCTTCACTCTTGCTTCTTTCTCTCTTGGGGCCGATCGACGAATGCCATCCAAAACGGGGGGCGCGGGGCGGCTCTTATTTTTCGAAAAATCAGTGCATCCGACGGTAAGGTAATTTATTGTCGCCCTCTCCTGACAAGTTCAACCCGAACCTCAAAAACTGGCTATATCTGGTCTACCAAATCTTCACAGCATTCGACTGCAATCACACTGAACGGGGAACACCGTTTTGGTGGTAGCAGCGTGTGCCGCCGATGTGGTCGGTTGGCTGGAGACCGTCTTAGTTTTGGTGTGTCAAGCTGCTCGACTCAGCACCATCACAGTCGAGAACTCGCAGCCATGGAAGGCACCCTTACTGCTCCACCTGTGGGCGGCGCTGAAGCTGAAGACGCTGCTGAGAGAAGCGTAAGCGGCACGGACACCAACGGGAGCGGCGTCGAGAGGGCACCCCCGCAGGGTGGAGGCCGTGGTGGTCGCGGGGCAGGTCGCGGTGGTCGTGGAGGACGAGGAGCTTCGACCAGGCCAGCTGCATCATGGAGCGATGATGATGTGAGCGGGTTCTTTCGCCTCCGTTACGCAGAGTTAGCTGACAACTTCAAGAACACGAAGGACACCAAGCGCATCAAATATGCGTGGGCCGTCTTAGCATCAACACTCTCTGTTAACCAGAGCAAAGTGTTCACTGACCAGCAGTGTCAACCTGAGATTCTGTCGAAACCACTCGTCGTAGACCGCGTCGTAAAGCATAGCCTCAAACTCTAGCGGTGTCAGGGTAAGGATGTTCTGCTTCGGGTTCGAAATTGCCCACACAGCGGTGTGGACCGCCGTCGCGAGAGCCCTCGTGGCCGCAGCAACTGCAGCAACGATGCTTTCGCTCTGCACCATCGAAACGCAGTGAAGACGCTCGTCTCCAAAGTGAGACTGGTGATTTAGTCGTCTCAGATTGGTCAGTCTGGAGACGATGAACCTAGCCGATCGAGCTAATAACTGGCCAATCAAAAATAAGAAAAAATGTCGCCACATCGTCTAAGACGATCGAAAGCCGAGACGAGCGTTCCCCGACCAGGCCCTAGTACTACTATTAGTAGATTCTACTAATGTAGTGCTGATCCAGGGATGATAATATAAAAAACATTACCTTTACTACCCAGCTTAAAAGCCCACGCGTGGGATCGGCAAATATCCCACGGGTGGGCTCAAGCTGATTAGTTGAATGCATGAGGAAATGTATTAGAAAGAGCGTTTAGAGGCTACTAATTAGCCCAATGTAGTGTTTAAATGGAGTGAGTGGCAGTCCCGACCTGTCTTCAGGCCGCAAACCCCAAAGAAATTGTTTTCCAGTGGATCAGAGCACCCGGAGCAGTAAAATGAGGCCTTCCGCCCGCAAATACTGCATTTGCGCTGCGCACGCAAGATTGTCCCGCTAAGACGCTTGTACTGGGGAAGCGTACTGAATGCATACAGTGTGTGAGTTGGGGGCGCTACGTCGTCACGGAAATCAGCAGCAGTAGTGACCCTCGTCGAGCGGTGCATCACAAAGTCGTTGAATACCAGTTGATTGAGAGATGAATGTGTTGAAGTCGACAATAGCCGGTTCTAAGAACTCCGATTCGACTGCTTCATACTGATAGGCGCGGAAAGCATCCACCACCACCATGCCAAACACCGTAGCGAGCAAACGATGTTGCCACTGCATTGTGTGCCAAGTTCGTTCCATCTCGAGGCTACCCTGTCGAAGATGATCATGAACATCTATCACCGAGAACTTCGAGAAAAAGAGCTCCACCATTTGCGGGCGCTGGATACGTCGGTCATACTGTATTGTTTTCAGCTGGCCGTTGTCTAGGATGAGCTTGTGCCGTCGGCGAACGCTATCGTTGCCAGGAAGCGACGTTCCGCGGTTTGAGATGAGGCACTTCGCTTTGCGGTCAGCCCAGCAGAGAGCATACATCGCGGTGCCTTTGGGAGTTTTGCTCTGTAGCATCTTAAATGACCCACGAGCGGGCTCAGTACCAAACCACTCTGTCATATACTTTTTTGGATACTCGCGAGACGCTGTTTTGACCATTCCCATCAAGTAAAGGCCTCAAAGATTTTCAAGTTGCACAAGGGTTTTAACCGAAGCAAAAGCGCTGTCTGCAACAACGGCGCGCCCGCTACCTTTATAAACTTCAGAAAGCCGAAGAACAATCGCTGTACCCTCACCAAACAACGCGTGGTATGGCTTCTGGCGTTGACGCTCGGCTCCCTCCATCAAATCTAACCGCAACAGCACACCCGAATCACCATCAGCGATAGTTTTAAGTTCGGCACCCACGCCTTCTGGCTTTATTGGGATTCTTGTCTTGTGAGGTATGCCATCGTGGCAGTATTTACCCTCTTTGCCCTGCCAGGCGCTCATGCACTCATCCACGCAAAGAATCTCCCCGGGTGATACTACATCGCGGCGGCGTGAATTAAATCCATCTATTAGCGGTCTAATAGATTTCCATGGGTCATCTGACGGCACATCATCGGAAAAAGAGAGCGCAGCTGAAATATTTTCAATGGCGTGTCGTGTAATGCAGAAGCGCTCACCAAAGTTTGCGGCTGTGCCAACCATACCCTCACCAACTTCTCTTTCCCAGTAGGTCCGCAAGGGACCGCGTCGAGGCTCGACTGCCATCGCAAGCCGAACTCCCAGAAAGCGAAACAAATCTCCCTCAGCAATTGGACGTTGCTTACGCTCCACCAACTTGGCATTTGTGTGCTGTAGAGTAGTTTGTATGGTCGACCACGGGTACATCAGAAAAAAATATTTGGCGAAGGTCTTTTCTCCTAACTCCAGCGTCGCCGGCCAGCGAAAAAAAGTTTTGCGCTTGCGTTGCAAAGTTGCAGGGTCGACAAGGAGGTCGGAGCAAAATTCCCAGATGCGGTTGTGGGCAAGTATTTTTCCGTCGTTAGAAATTCCAGAGACCATCGTAGACTTATCATCTGCGTTATCTTCTTCATCTTCCTCCTCGTCTGAAGAGGATTCCGACTCAGAAGAAGACGAGTCACCCGGACCAGGCCCCGCACCAGCACCAGCTAACAGCAAAGCGATCATCGACTCTAAAGGCTCCGTAGTCGGGTTCTGCATGGCTGAGTCGCTGCTGGGAGCCTGTAGTAGCTGTATTGAACGCGCCGACACTGACTGTACTGATCCATCGCCCCACTGAACGCTGTACCACGGCTGGCGTTTGCTGTTGTCGATCGACAGGACAACGCCCTCCTTGCCCAGTGTCCCCTTAGACTTTCCTTGAACACGATTTCCCACACCGAGTTTCACCATGAAGACAGCTTCGTTTGTGACCGGAAAAAAAGCGCTAAATAGCTCAGACCTTCCTCTCTATTTTTAAACGATACATTGTGCTTTTCAGTTGTTTTGTCAAATCGGACGTGTAAAACAGCTACCTACTAAGATGGGGCTAGGTTATCGGAGTAGATTTGTGACGGGGCACACAGCACTTCATAACAGAGGAAGCAGGAGTATACAAACTCCAAGTGAACAGCCGTTCACGTGTCCCTGGTCTGAAGGGGACGACTTGACTTGAAAAGCGGTAGATCTAAGACTGAATGTATTTATAGGTTGGTACAGATTTGGCCTGCATACAAATCCTAAGTTCCCTATAGTTTGTGTCATACAAAATGTATCTGTTGGCTCTGAGGCCACTTGGGTCACTATCCAGGGGAGTGACCGATGTAGCCATCCCGGAATAGTGACAGGGTCACTATTCCATGTAACCCCGTTACATCCTCCCCCACTTAGATTCGATCTTATCGACCAATCAGAGCGAGGTTACGCCGGCGACTCACATTTCACTCGCAAAGTCGAGATCCATCGACAACGGCGCGAGCTCTGGCGCCTCGGCTCCCGGGCCTCACAGAGCAACTGGCGCATCGCCGAGCAAGCCGCAGGGTCTCCACGTCGACCGGAAGCATGCCTCCAAAGCGCAGTGCGCGCAGTGCGAAAGCACCTCCGAAACCGCGGGCCGTAGGGCCGAAGACCAGGGCGGCCAAGGCCAAGGACGAGTCGTCCGCGCTGATGGAGGCCACGAAGGCGGCCGAGGAGGTGGTGCGCTCTCGTAGCAGCACGCCGGAGAGTGGCCGTCAGGCCGGGGCTCGGAGCAAGTCTCCTGACGCCGCTCAAGGCAAGGAGGAGAGTCCTCGGGGCCATAAAAGCCCGGCTCGCGACTGGGAAGCCGCCGTCTTTGACTGCACGATGGTCCAGTACTCCGGTGAGAGTTCACCCGACGACGAGAACGTCTCGGAGGGCAGCACGCACGCTGCCGAAGGCACGGAGCTGGAGGCAGGCGACATGACTAACGCCTCGGCCGACGCAAAGGCCTCGTCAGAGAAGGAGGCGGAGGACGCCGAGTCCGGCTCAGGCGACAGCAAGCCGTCGCACGACGAAGTCGCCATGGCCGACGCTTGGGTCGTGGCCGAGAAGTCGCCGAGCGACGCGGGCTCCAAGCCCAATGAGGTGCTGGCATCCAAGCATCTGACGCTGGCACAAGGTCGTGAGCGTGCCCAAGCGTCGAAAGCGGCTACTGCTGCGAAGACCGCCGAGGCCAAGGCGAAGAAGCGTTCAGCTTCCAGGTCGCCTCGCGGCTCCAGCTCCAAGCTGTTCATCGACTCGGAGTCTGAGGACGAGGAGGGTGCCGTCCACAAGCCCAAGGAGCTCTCCATCAACCTCGACGAGCAGCAGCAGCAATACCACGCTGCTAGCTCGGGTGTGTATGCCAGGCAGCCGACTGCCACGACTGCCACGACTGCCATCGAGTCTTCTTCAGGTGGGGATGCCACGTACCCGCAGGGCTACTTCCCGCCCGAGCCTGGCACTGGTGCGCCAGCGCTGTTGGAGAAGCTCTCGGCTCCTCGTGGCCTTATCGGCGGGTACACCTCGAGGGGTTCCTATGAGCGTGCTCTTGTTGAGAAAGAGCCACTCTTTCTTGGCGACGTTGAAGTCGCCCGGTGTGTGCTACTAGCACCACACAAGCTCACACTGAAGGAGTTCACCACGCTTCGCAAGAAGCCGGAGGACAAGGGTGGACTCCATCCTGTGTGGGGTTTCCACTGGGTCAAGCCGAATGACAACACGACCAGGAGCGAGGTGGAAGACCTCTTCTGGCGCTACGTCCAGCGCAAAGGGTATTCCGACCAAGAGTTCAAAGAACTCCGTGAGGATCGCACTCTGTCCGCAATCCTGGACGTGCGCGAGCTCCGCATCGAGTTCGCTCAACTCGTGAGCAAGCGCAAGCTCCACTCGAAGATGGACGAGCTGAAGCAAGAGGCGAGAGCCAAAGCTCGTGAAGAGCGTGGGCGTGGTGCGACTACGTCTGCTACCGTGCCCCGGGTACCGGCCAAGAAGCCAAGGACTACTTACGAAGCTACCGCTGCTTCTCGTCCCATATCGCAACACCCTTCGGGCAGTCTGCCTGGCGCTGCTCAACGGGCTCCCACGAGTTATCCGACTCAGGGTAACCCCTCCACTTCACGAGCAGCTGGCGCTTGCCATGGAGCCGCCGCTCCCGGACGACTCGTTCCACGTGGTAGTGGATCTGCCCATTACGATCAAGGAGGGCCGGCGGTGGCCTCACACGGCCATGGCTACGAGCCTGAGGCGACGCAGCCGTATGCTGGGGCCCCGAGTCAGGTGGTGGCCCTGCAGCAAGAGGAGATTCGTCTTCTCCGGGACCGTGTGTACGTCCTCGAGATCGCGCTAGGCGTCGGCCTTGGTGGCGAGGCTGCCGCTCGTGCTGGTCAGCCTGGTGCCGTGGAGCGGCTCCGTGAGGATGTTGCCTCGCTCTATCAAGAAACTCGCAGTCTCCATGGCCGTGTGGATCGTCGAGCCGACCTGTCGTCTTACGACTCGCTGCGAAACCAGCTCGCTGGCCTTCGGGCCGAGCTTCATGGCCACGCGCCGTATCCGGAGCAGCAGAAGCCCCACTCGTATCAGGCCCAGTTTGGCCAGGGCTCGTACGGGGCCCCCTGCGTATGCTGCTCCGATGCACGCCGCGCCGTCTTACGACCAGCGCGCGTATCAGGCGCCTTACCGCGACTCGACGCCGCGCTTCGAGGAGCTGCGCTCTTCTCCACCGGGCCACCCACCGCTTCCTGCGGGGCAGCCAGAGCCAGATGGTCATGGTACCTCTTAAGACAACCCATGTAAAACGTCGGGTGAGTCGTCATCGACTTGGGCAACTCTATGGTGTACGCCACGCCATGCCGGCTGAGGACCGTGAAGGGTCCAATGAAGCGGTGCTTCAGCTTGTTGCTCTCGACCGAGCTAACAGTGTTTAGCGGTAGGTTTCTAGTATCTAGGAGAACTAAATCCCCAACCTTAAACACGTTCATGTTTCTTCCATTTGGTCAGAGTACTCCTTCTGTTTATCTTGGGCTTGCGCCATGGTAAATGTCTCTCACTCTGCTGATTATGTTCAGCCTGGCTTCGACAAACGAGGACAGTTGCTTCCGCAAGGCGGCTGGACTCACGTCCGAGACTTGGGAGGAAAAGGTTTTCCGAGCCTCTCCCCCACTTAGGACCGAAGCCCCGGCACTGCCTCGTAATGTGAGCGGCACCTGAGGGTGGCGCAACCCGTTCAGGTAAAAGGGTGTAAAGCCCGTCGATGCATGTACCGCATTGTTGACTGCGAACTCAACCATGGGCAAGCGATCAGCTCAAGAGCGGGGCATCTCCGCGCAGATACTGCGGAGCGTGGCTTCGAGCACGCGATTGACGCGCTCCGTCTGGCCATCCGTCTGCGGGTGGTTCGCCGTCGACATCGACCGCCGTGTGCCGAGAAGGCGAAACAGCGTCTGCCAGAACGCAGCGGTAAACCGCGGGTCTCGATCAGAGACAATGGTCTCGGGCAGACCGTGGTGCAGGAAGACACAGTCCATGAACAGGCGAGCGACCTCGTCACCAGTCACGAACTGGAGCAAAGTGTACCATCTTGCTCAGACGGCAAAAGCAACAACACCGGTGTTGCCACGGGCATCGGCCGGGAGGCCGAAGACAAAGTCGAGACTCATCGACTTCCAGCCGTCCGCTGGGACCGGCAGGCTCTGCAATGGTGCCGAGGCGTGACCGGCAGGCTTCACGCGCTGGCACGTCTCGCACGTACGGACGTAGGTGGCGACCCACTTGTACATGTGACGCCACCAAAACAACTGCGAGACAGACGCGTACGTCTTCTCACGGCCGAGATGGCCACTGGATGGAGCGTCGTGCGCCTCCATCAGGATGTCGTACTTGAGATCCACGTCGTTGGGCACGACAATACGGGGAGGATCCTCGGGCTCGACCCTATAGTGGAGCAAACCGTCAGCCCACTCATAGCGGTGCAGCCTTGCACGTTGTCGGGGCGTGAGCCACTCGGCCTTGGCTTCCGAGCCAGCGGCCGAGAACCGCACAAGAGGTCCGAGACTGGCATCGTCTCGGTACCCCAGCCTGATGCGATCATACAGATCCGTCGTGACCCGACTAATATGAGCAAGCTCGTAGTCGGGTCGGCGCGACAGCGCGTCGGCAAGCACGTTCAACTTGCCCGGCTTGTACTCGACACGGAAGTTGTATTCCGCGAAGAATGACAGCCAACGCACCATCCGCTGTGAGCGATGCGACGTGTTGACGGCAGTCCGCAAGGACGCATGGTCTGTATAAACGACAAAGGGCGTCGAGCCCAGGAGGTGCACTTGGAACTTGACAAGAGCGTACTTCATGGCAAGTAGCTCCTTGTCGTGGACTGGATAGTTCCGTTCGGC